GTAGGTCCATCTTGGTAAATATTGTTGCTCCGCCTAATCGATCTCTTAATTCCGTAGCTAATGGAAGTGGATATCGATCTTTCTTTGTAAGCGTGTTGAGCTTTCTGTAGTCCACAACTAGTCTCTTAGTACCATCCTTCTTGGGTACCCACATAGTTGGACTTGCCACTTGGGATGTGGATTCTCTGATCCATCCCTTGGCCAAGTTGTCGTCGATATATTCTTTGAGCGTCTTTAGCTCATCGGCTGACATTGAATAAATTGGGGTGTGCACAGGCATCTTGCCTTCCTCCAATATTATCTCATGATCCCACGGCTTGTGTTCCGGTAAAGCCTCGTGGATCCCTGGTTCCTTAAAAACCTGTTCATATTTTCTGTACTGTTCTGGTATCGTAGGCTTCTTTTTTGCCTCGATTGCGATTTCCTGCCGTACCGTCGGCTTCTGCATTTGTAGAGGAGGTGTACTGGCCTTCGCTCTTAATGGAGGACCCTGGACTGGGTGTCCTACGTCGCCGGTGTTGTTCGCGTTCAACTCTCCTTGGCGCGTGTTACGTCTCGCGGACGCCTTGAACGTGTCGTCATGACCGTCCTTGCACTGATCAAATGTCACTGTTCCTTGTGACCAATCTATTCTGGGATTATGTGCCTTCAACCATGGCATTCCTAAGATGATCTGTTGTTGGCCCAATGGCACAACGTCAAGCTGTATAACCTCCGAATGTTGGGTCATATTCATTCGTACTGGTCGTGTCTCCTGTGAAACGTTCCCGTCAGATCCTGCTAGCTGTCCGTCAACTAACTGCAATTGGTAGGGGTTTTGTTTCTTCTGGAGTGGGACTCCCAAATACTTTGCAGCTTCTGGTGCAATAAAATTTCCTGTAGCCCCTGAATCTATCATGGCTTGCTGTATTTGTCCGTTTATTTTGACCTTGCAGTATATTTGACCTGCTTGTCCTGTAGCATTTAGCTGTGGTGTAATTTGCTCATTCTCGCTATTCTGGATGATCTCATCGGCAAATGTTACACGTCGAGGCTCTTCCTCTTCTAGATAGACAGCGCTTGTTCCTGATCTAGCTCTGTCATCAAGTAAGTCCCTCCATAGGGTGTATCGGTAGTTCCCTTGAGTGACTTTCATTATCGTACCCACAACTGGTGGTGGTATTATGGCCTGAGCCTGGACCCGGTGTTCTTCTCCTACTCTTCTGCATAAAAATAGAACCTGATTCTCATTTCTTTCAGATGTGTGGTGATAGAACACTTCCCATAGCTCTCCCCTGTCTGGCCACTGGAGGTGATCGGTACTAATTCTTTCTACGAATGATGTGTTTGTAGTGATTCCAAACTATAGAATTCGATGCTGATCGACGTACCGAACCTCATACGATTCGCCTTCTTCAGCGTCTGTTACGCTGAGGTCTTCGTTCATAGTCCCTTCGTCTGTATCTCCAAATTTCCAGATACGACGGTTCCATTGGTCAATTTCCCGAATAGACCATGATTCTCCTAACTGCGGGTCTTTGTTTACCCATGAGAGGCCTTCGACCTCTTCTTCTTCTTCGAGCTCTTCTTCGTAAGCTGGTGGTGGCGTGGCTAGCCCTGTCATGCTAACAGCACACAATTGTGGCGTGAAGGTGGCATTAAGTTGGCCCTTGCCGAACTTATTCTTAAAGTTACCCTTCTTGCCCCCTGTTCTCTTGCTTCGGCATTCTGCTGCTCGGTGCCCTGCTTTTCCACATTCAAAGCATAAGTTATTTTCTCGTCTTCGTTTCTTTTCCGGATCATCATTCCCGCTCTTGTGGTGCGTAGCGTCGAGTTCCATAGGGTCGCCATATCCCTGTGGATTGTAACGTGGTCTACCCTCATTCTTGCGGTAACGCCCTTGCTTTTGATTTCCCTGGGGTTTGTATGATCTTTGACTTTGTCGATATCGGTAAAGACGATCATCTGACTCGATGGAGTCCTGGATTAGGTCGTTCAAGTCTACACTCTCGGCAGATCTTTCTAACTCCAGTCTGACTTCTGGCTTGAGTCCTTTACGATAGTGACTCATGATGGCGGTTTCGTCCCACTTGGTTGTTCCCGCATATCTTCGGAATTCCGTAGCATACTTCAATGCTGATCCTGTCTGCTTGAGGTTGAAGATCTTATCTTCCGCTACCTCTAGCTCATTAGAGTTCCCGAAGATTCTACGTATCTCTGTCTTAAATCCTTCAAAACTGTTGAAGATTGTTCGAGTGGGTTGCATGCGATCCTGATCGTCATGCTCGAAATAGTCGCGCAAGTATGGCTGAATCCATTTGCCTGCCTCACCTCTGAGGTATGACACGGCCCAAATACTCTTAGATTCCTTTTCGGTGAACTTGTCTTGGTTGAATCTAAAATAGATTTCAAGTTGTAAGAGGAAGGTGTCGAGTTCCTGTCGACTTCCTTGGTATTTGTCTGGTAAGGCAATCTTGAGTGTTTCGTTGATGGTAATTTCCTTGGGAGCGTCGGTCATCTCGACATCGTTGGTGTCGGGTGCTTGTGCCTGACTGCTCGCGGATGCACTGATGGGTGTCATATCGTCGGTTGGTATTGAATTGGTACTTGAAGCAGAAATGGTGCTCAAAGTGTTACGGGAGCTGCCTCTAGGGTCACGTGGAAGTGTCTAGAGATCTCTCGAGGTGGTTTAGACTAGACTTCAAGTAGGAATTCAATAAGGTTGTAACTGGTTGCAATTCTCGTAACTATAGTAATGAAACTAATGATTGTTCTTGAGCACGAAGCTCTACATTGTAATGAAATCCTGTTCCCTTATATAGACCTTCCTGCTCTGTTAACTCTTGAGTCGATTGTCGAAAGCCGATGGTCGAGTTTCGAAAGTCGAAAGTCGAAAGTCGATTTCGATTGTCGGCTTTTATGGTCACGTGATGCTAATCCTGTAGTTCTTGTTATCCGTCGTAACATAATCTTTATTTAATATTATTTATACCTTAAGTATATTATATCTATAAAAAATAATGGATTCAATATTTAAATAAGTTTTTTATAAAGTTTAAACTACTAAATAATGATTTTAATTAATTACAAGATATTTATTACTTTTGAAATACTTTAAAAAATATAATAGAATTTACAGAAAGTAGTAATATTACTTTTAAAAAGTATTTTCTATAATAAAGTTTTTACTATAGCATTTTGAAAAAGGAAAGGTATAATTCATATTCTTTATTCATACATTCTTTATTCATATATTCTTTATTTCATATCTTTTTATTTTATATTTCTTTACTTACTTATTTTATTTATATCTAACCTTATTTAGATTTTCTATATTAACAATAAATAAGTAAAACTCATAAAACACTATTTTCTTACTAATAGATTACTATATTATATTATTATTATTATAAAAAGTTCTACATAAAATGATTATATTTTAAAGAATCTTAAAAGGAATTTTATTTATTATAGATGAAAAGATAAAAGAATAATATCAAGAGGTTTTAGAAGAAATAATATAAATCAAATTTTAAAGATTTATTTCAATTAATACTTAAAGAAACCGTCTTTAATATATTAATTATATATTTGTAAATTAAAAGGATATCTTGTTATTCAATAAATGAATAGACAAAATATCTTATTATTTTCTCTTTTAAATGTATTCAAGGTTTTTATAAATAATAAATTAATTTTATATAATAACAAGTATACCTTAATTTAAACAAAGTAATACTCAATTTACTTAATATCCTTAATGTATTTATTTTTATTAAATACTTTTTCTTTTCTATAAAAATCATTATTATCATAAAATATAATAAACTTCAAATTACAATTATTAAAAGAATAGAATACTTAAAACCATAATTAGATTTGAATTAGTAAATAGAAAACGATATAGAATTCAAGAATTGAAATAAATAAAGGATAGGATTTATACTGTTAAATAATATTTTATTATTATTTCAATTTTATTAAAATTAGTTTTGATTTTTAATATTACCTTTTTATTTTCAAGTTTTTATATTTCAGTCTTATTATATATCTTTATAGTAGTAGTTATAGTAAATTCTTAATCGATTTAGTCTATCTATAGCTAAGCTATACTAACTATATAATGTGTTTATATGTTTTCAATTATATAAAGTAGATAGGAAAGAATAATAAACAACCTATCTCCCTCGGAGCCTGTTTGAGTCTGTTATTATAAAATTTCGTTATATTATAGAACCTTCTAATCTTTTTATTTATTCTATTATAACCTTGACGACCCCCTGCTTCTTATATCTGTCTCTATTATTCCTTCCTACTCTATTCAATTTCTCTCAGTGTATCAAATCTTGTAGTTAGTATATCGCTGTCTAGTATATCTTTATATATATTTATTTAAATAATATATATAGTAATAAGTTTACATTTCTAAAATATATATTATTTATTATATTAAAAGCTTTATATGCGTTATTATTTTACTATAGAATATTATTACCTACATTGTGATTCTCTACTACTATTCGCGAACCAAGCAAAGCTCCAAGAAGGACTGAAACCAAAACTAAAACCTAGAACTTATTCCATCATCAACTTATAAACCACGTATCTAGGCGATGAAACATGTAGGCATCAGTCATCTAAAATCAAAGCCACCCTAGTCAAGATCATACCAAATTACCCATCAATAACTGGGAGGGCGAAGTCAAGTGTTACAATCATATCACTATAGTATGGTTGCTAATCTTGTGCACGTGGGATTTCGGCAAAGTTGAGGGTCAATATCACGCGGTCCCAATTCACGAAGAAAGGTTGACTAGACATCAAGATTTAATAGACTAACCAGATGCAAACCCTCGTTTGAAATCCTTACATAATTGAAATACCAGCCTGCTCGAAAACAAAGCATGAAATCGGTTAAATGAAATAACGACGCATGCAAGAGACTTCAATCCTCCAAAACGTCTGAATTCATGACCTTGTCTAGAAATCCACTTTGATCTCCTTGAATATCTGTAGCAGACTTAATACACTTTTTCCTTTATCAGCCTCTCGAGATGTCCACAATGATTCAACCCTTTCAGAGGTCCCCTAGCATCTCGTTTCCAAATACATTTATTGACCTCCCAGATTGCCCTGGGACAATTTGGATGACCTGGATATATTGACTGGAAGTTATGAGAAAAGGCCAGTTCTTTGAGTCCCTTCTCTATCGCATCAATGTAACATATCGTTGATGAGACTTCTTGAATTCCACTCCTCTCATCCAAACAATCATCGATGATTTTGGTAACCTGTTCCGAAATATCGATTAGGTTTCGCTGGAATCGGTGAACCGAGTTGGACATCTCCACTTCGCGCACGTGTTCACCGGCCGCAGATTTATTGTCGAGCCAATAGGTCATATAACCGACTGTATCATTACTATGTCCCTTGTCAGATTTCTTGTTCGAGCGCTGTAAAAATGGAAGCATTTTTAAAATCTCTGAGCGAGGTACAAAGTCAGGATTCGTTAGATTTTGGTCTGTTAAGACTTTGTAAATGCAAAATTCTACAGCGGATCGTAGCGCTCGACTGGTATCGTTGGCCGCTCCAAGTTCGGGCAAAAATGATTGGCCTATCTCGATTACTTTACGTAACCCCACGGATTTTCCGAGATACACATTTGACTGAGGCAACATGTATCCATCTCTTAACCCTCTCAGATATTCAATGAATAATTTTCTGATCAATTTTGACCTGACTGGCTGCTTGGATATAGATCCCCAATAGGGGTGGCTTATCCATTGTCTGAAATTGGAAGTTCTGATGGGTCTAACATCAGAAGTAAGTTCGGTCAAATCCTCTACCACCGCATTGGTGAGTATCATTGCGTCCTCCACGTGTCGACGAACCAGATCATAATATATCATATATTCATGATATAGCTTGTCAGCGTCAGCCTGTACGTCCTCAAATAGTTTTAGGAATTGGCGCCCTTGCGGGTAGTCTAGCATCTCGTTAATGAACCTGTTGAAGGTTAAAAGCGTGTTGCCTAGGAATGTATCCAATCGTCCTCGAAATATGTCTCCTTCTTTTCTGGTAGCATTGTAGGTGATATTCTTATATAATAATGGAATTGCAGATACACTGCTTGGGGTGATGATTTTGGCATTATAAGCACTTCTCATTTGTTTTCCGTGACGGAGCCGTCCGTCGATATAGGGTATAACATATGCCCAGGTCAAGAACAAACTCAGCAGAGAGAGTCCCAGCCACATCGTTTGAGTTACTTGAAAGTCTGCCAGCCATGAGCCATGGGGTTGAAGAGGAAGTCTGTACGTGTTGACATCTGAGTCAGAATCAGAGTCGGTAGCACTTGTGCTCGGGGTACGTTCCCTGCGTTTGATCAAAGACCCTCGAGGGTTTCTGGTGGGCATTGAGAAAGTAGAGAAGCTAAAGCCGTTTTGAGTATTGTATTAGAATTTGCAAATACCTGCGAGTCTATAGTTGACTTGAACTAATCGTTGATATTGAGCCGGGAGAATTTTGTGTGTGTGATGACAATCCGTTGGAGTCGAAAGATTAATCGTGGTCGTGAAGATTTACAACCTTTTTTTGTTCGTAAAGCTTTCTTTAAATGGTGCCCGAATATGGATGTGAGGATATCCTTTGTTGGAAATTGACGAGGGTTCCAAGAAACTTCAACAAGCCGCTATTGTTATGTGGTGCGCTCGCGATAGCCTATGTGACAAAGAAAGAATAGTAAGATAAAGAAACATTATACCTTTTGGCAACTGTGTTGAAAATATGTAACTTCCAGGGTTATCGATCCTGCATCGTGAAAGGCGCAATGAATAATAACATTTGGTCCATGGTCAAGATCTGTATCACGATAAATGACTATCATAGAGTCGTGCAAAACTAGATTCTTGTAGATATTGACAGAAGGCAATAAGAGAGGCAGTTGAAGAAAGTCGGTTTTGTCCATAAAGAAGCGTCCTATTAACCTTGGCTAAAAAGTAGTTGATGGGAGTAATGCTATGCTATGTCAGGTGATCAGATTCCACTATATTGAAATCATTTTATTGTTGCGAATGTTTCCTTTCATTATTGGATCATTGAATGTAGAATGACGCCTTCATCGTGAGTTACAGAACAAAATAGTACAATTCGCAGCGTGCTTGAATTATCTCTAGCTCAGGGAAACACTTGTCCGCAGTAGCGCAGATGGGCAAATGAATAGACACAGCTAGAAAGTTTCAAGAAAATTCCAAAATTCACGATTTGTTGAATAGCATATGTTAAATTGAGTGGTTTTCTAATCTCATGTGTGATAGATGCATCACCCTAGATTTCATCTTCAGGACAACAATATGTGGAATTCATGCAGATAGATTGCATTAACAATTCTTTAAAAGAGACTTAATACTTACACGAGCTGAACCACATCCTTAAGTGCTGAAGCTGATCAAGTCCCTCGTCAACTTCGCCTCATTAAATCTCCATCTAGCAACGTCAATCTGTCCCTTCCAATCCGGCTTATCGCATAGCTCATGAAGAAGACTGTGATATCTACCCATGTTCAAGTTGAATCCTAAGATATCCTTCTTCTCTGCCATTAATTGGATAATAAATGCCAGTTCCTGGAACATAACTCCGTGTCCACGTGTTCCCAGTTGCTCCAAAGATCCATGGTTGCAACAGCGTCCAACACAACTATATATGTGGAAAAAAGCATGACACATCTCGTGGACTAGGATACCGAATAACTTTTTCAACTTTTCTCCATTGAGCGGCTCCATTTCTGGTCCAACAAAGATGGTGATCGTGCTCCGTGGCCGGAAGCGACATTTGATAACATCTTTTTTTCCTCTACTGTAAACGGCCTTAGATTCCTGAGATGTGTGGCCTTGACAACCAGGTAGGTTATTGCCGGGTAAAGAAGTGATTAGAGTAACATATTCATTCAACGTACCTCGGAAAAACAAATCATCAAATATGTGAAAGTACTTTTCCAGGATGATTTTCGTTGATACGAGGCGAAGCTGATTTGGGGTATGGAGGATATCTATCACCTTCCACTTCTCAACCGCCTCTTCCTGGAGAGGACTTAGTTTTGAATCTGGATTAATATGTTTCCAGACAGCACCTACGAGACTTGCAGGTCGATGCTTAAACACCTTTAGGCGATTTAAAGTCAAACGTCGTCGAAAAAATAGTCTTCCGGAGAGATATCCCAGCTGGGGATTTGCTTTTCGAACGATCAGAGAATGTGGAAAGTAATTCTCATCTCTGTCTTGGGCGAATTGCTCTATTGCAGATCGACTTTGGCGAAGTAATTCGGCGTCACACCCTGTGACATGTGTGGGTCTGCCAATTCCGTTTGTCATTTTTGAAGGTATTTGACCCATCATGCGAGGGTTTTCGATGACGTTTGGAGGAATGTCGATATTGAAAAGTTATATGAGATATTCTAATGACATGCAATTAAGGAAATTGTCTCCAGCCAGTTCCCGTAGTGATAAATATAGTAAATGCAATCACTGGAAATGGGCGTCTTGGGCAGTAGCAACCGTATTAGCCGTAGGAATAAACCCATTCAAGATGCCGCAATTCTCCATCTCAGCCGTAGTTGACGAAAGGCATAGGATATACAGCATCTTATAATTTCAACACTACTTGAATTTGAAAATCCAGCGAAAGAGCAAGAGCATTTGCTCTCATGAAATACGAAGCTGTATACTTGTATGGCATACTAGGACTGACAGTAGGATGAAGCTCAATTCGACAAATAAGCGATCAAAATCAAACAAAGTCAATTGCTAAGTGGACTTCAAAGCGCTCGAAAAAGTTTGTAAGATACATTATAATAGTTGAGCGAATCAAGAGAATCAGTTCCAGTGACGATTTAGCTAATTCTGAGAACTACTCGAATTGATATTTTCAATGACCTAAAACCCCTACCTTCTCTATCAGTACGAAGGAATATCGTTATGTCCTTGGGAGGGTAAGATCAACTTTTATGCTGATATCTTCTCTGTTCACAACCAGAATAGAAAACCAATCTTTTATCCTCCAACATGGCCAAACTCTGTAAGAAATGAAAATCTAAAATATAGCTAGCACTGCGACCTGCATACCTCCAGGGGATAGTATAGAGGTCAAAAGTCTTTCAGTAGTAACTTCGATATCCTACAACTGTCCATTATCCATGACACGGGTCCCGTGGGCTAAACTTGATATATCCATAGACGTGTTTGCTTTAATTTGCTTTTTGACCTTGGGATCATTCGTACTAGTTTTGTTCCTCATGACTACCAGAATTTTTCATCAGACCTGAGAACAAGTATTACGCTCATTGCATGTGTTAGAACCATGTACTCAATTTTCGCAATGATCAAGAAAGATTGTGAACAGCGTTCCCGAAAAGGCGAGAGCCCAAGATTTAAAACTTCTGTCAATGAATTTTGTCTATAATTTTCAAGAGCCAGAATAACGCATACTTCTATAGTTTTATAAAAGATCTAATATTTTGACATCGTAAGAACTTTTAGGGGAATTAGCTTGAAGGAGCTGCGAGGTTTCCTCTAACACCTCCCTTCTCTCCGACTTCGCGTGCAGTGACAGTAACTGACAAATCCTTGCTAATGTTGATCATGACTTCGACCTTGCTACCCTTCTTGACACCTTTGACTGCGGCCTCTGCGAGAACATTTCCGACCTTCCAGATTTTCTCACGTTGCTCCTCTTCTTCCTCTTCGCTATCATCATCCTCAGAATCATCAGAGTTTGCGTCCTCAACCTTGGCGCCAGTGGATTTAGGTTTTGGCTCTGGCTTAGTGACCTTGATGTGAGATCCACCCTCGACAATCTTGATCAAAACATCACCACCTTCTTTAGGAGCAGCAATTTCAACAGTTCGGCGGGCTGGGACGGCAGTTTCGGCAGCAACAATTGGTGTGAAAACCCCATTGTCTGTCTCTCCTGAGATGGAAAGAACTCCAATGGCATTTGTGAGGTGCTGAACGGTAGTGACGGCAGCGTGAGTAGATTGCTCAATGTCTTGAGCATCAAATTCTTGAATGAGAGAGGCTTGAAGAGCAGCTCCACGGGCTTGCAATTCGGATGGGTTGATTGCGGTAGGGCTGGTAGATGGAGCAAGAACTGTTGCATTTTGGTAGATATATTTGACGTTTGATGCGATTTTTGGAGTGTGCGATGTACCACCAGAAAGGATGACCTCATCGATTTCCAACGCATCCAATCCAGCCTTCTTAACAACACCCTCGATCAATCTATTGAATCCTTCAAAGACCTTACGTCCAATGGTCTCATATCTAAGTCTGTTAATGGTAGAAGAGAAATCAATGCCCTCTGCTAAACTCTCAACACTGAAGTTGGAGTTTTGTCCGATACTAAGTGCTTTCTTAGTAGCTTCGGCTTCTGCCTTCAGTTTTGCGAAACTGCGTTGGTTTTCACGAGGGTCGATAGAGTTCCACTTGATGAACTCTTTGGAAAAGTGATCCATGAGAACCTGGTCCAAGTGAACACCAGCGAATTCGTAATCGTGTGCAGTGGCCAAAATGGTGTACATGCCACCTCTTGATGCGATAACTGCGACATCTGAGCGAGTTCCTCCGAGGTCTGCTACGATAACATTCTTATCCGCAACCTTGGCCTCTGGCCTTGCGTCATATGCCAACAAAGCAGCAACAGGCTCATTAATGAGTTGTAAAACCTCAACACCTGCATCGTTTGCTGCCTTTATCAAAGCAGCCTTCTGGTTGTCAGAGAAATTTGTTGGAATCGTGATGACAGCCGAGTTGACTTGTTTTCCGGTGTAATCTGATGCGGATTGTGCGAGACGACGGATAACTCGAGTTGCTACCTCAGAGACAGAGACGGTCGATGGTTCACCCTCCTCCTTATCTTGAATTTTGAATGCGATTGTGCCCTCGTGGTCCAAAGGGTGTGCAGAAGCATGGCTGTGTGTAGGGTCTATCGACTTGAAGCTGTGCGAGGGGCGGGGCAAAATGTTAGTCGACTTTCCCTTGGAATACTCCTGGGGTCCAAAGGGGCATTTATGATATTGACATACTCTTGTCCAAGGAAATCTCTGAAATAAGCAACAGTGTTTGTGCTGTTTCTAATAAGTTGTTGCTTGGCCTGTTGACCATAATATTCGTCTCCGTGGATATAGGACAAAATGGTAGGAATTTGACGATCTGTGGTCGAAATCAATCAGTTTGCCTCCCCATCCTGTTCGGATCTATTTTCGAGTGTGGTTTGATTACTCACCTCCATCCTCATTGGCAATAACTTCAGCTTTATCCTCGACAGTTGTGTAGGCGATTGAGCTGTTGGAGTTTCCGAAAGAGATACCAATGGCATTTCTCTCACCAGCAGTGCCGTTTGATGAGGGGGCTTCAGCTGCCATTTTTTAAATATATGAAGGATTATGAGAGAGAAATGAAAATTCTATGAATGAATTAGAAAAAGACTTTGACTCAAAATCAAAGGTTGTTATAGTTCTGTGTAAATACTGAATGTAATCCAAACCACCCAGAACTTTTTTACTTTTTCAAAATCGCATCGAGAATTTCACTAGCGCCATATCTTAGGTTAGCCCCCCCCCCACATTTTGTAGGCGCAAACGCAAGGCTGAGAAATCTGAACTTTTTGTCTAAGGTCGTTGGAGCAAATGTTAATAAATATACTCGAATAATATAATCAATACACAAACAAACTCAAGAAAATTCTCGACGACAACTACAGTTTGAGATACCGTTCAGCCATAGAAAATTACGCCCAAACAATCGTTTGCTCACCATACCATAATGTCGACAGAAACATTCGTACTTCCCGGCGATCATATTGCTTCAGAATTGTTACCTTCTCACCCAAGTTTACCATTGAAGCTCGGCCCTGGATTAAGACATATTCCTCCGAATACAATTACTTCAACTGTAGCAGGTCAAGTACGAACAGATTCGAGAAAGAATGCAGTGTGGGTTGAATTCAATGCTGGTCGAGTAAGAGATAAATCACAAATTTCTATTCTTCGGCACAGCTAACCTTTCCTTCAGTACATTCCGACAGTAGGAGATCTCGTAATTGCTTCCATTAGAAAATCTGCAGGAGATGTCTTTTATGCAAACCTTAGCGACTTTACATCGGATGCCAGTCTACCAGTTCTCTCCTTCGAGGGAGCTACGAAGAAAACCAGACCGCAGCTTGAAAAGGGCGCACTAGTATATGCACGAGTTACTCTTGCAAACAAACATATGGATCCTGAATTAGAATGTGTGTCAGCATCAACGGGTAAATCAGAAGGTTTGGGACCATTGGAGGGAGGGATGCTTTTCGATATCTCTCTCGGAATGGCAAGACGAATGATGATGGCTCGCCCAGCTGATCAAGGTGGTTTGACGATACTTGAGGAATTGGGAGAGGCTGGTGTTTCGTTTGAGATAGCCGTGGGAAGGAATGGAAAAGTTTGGGTGGATAGTAAGACAGTTAAGACTACATTGGCGATAGGAAAGGCCTTGAAAGAAACGGACGAAAAGGGTCTGTCACCGGAAGATCAAAAGAAACTAGCTAAAAAGCTGGGACGCGAGGCTTGAAATACGATATCCTAGAATAGAACAATTACGCCATTGGAGAAGCTTTGCAAGAGGCCGAATCAAAAGAGACGACCCCGTACCCACATTCCTCTCATGTCAGCCCTCACAGGATATGATACACGACCGCAATCCCTTTCCTCACTCCCTCACTCCCTCACTCCCTCACTCCCGCCACTCAAACTACAATAATCCTTCACAAGTTCGATTGGGCTTCTCTATAGCAGTACGCTTGGAGTCTACAGATGCTTCGAAGCGTTTATTCTCTAGAACAATGTGCAAGCCATGTCGATAATCAAGCGCAATGCATTCCAGTTGCCCCAAATTACTCACCAAGTTTCCGATTGATCAGCATGCGGTGACATGATGAAACTGGGAGGCAAACTAGGAAGTCTATATAATGATGGTGTACACCATGCAAATTTCTTCTTTAAGCACCCGGAATATACATCATGTTTTGCTTTACTACTACAATCACATTGGCTATTCTCTGCCTAGCCAAACCATCACTTTCGAGACCTGTCCCTAGAAATGAGAAAGGAGAACTTAGTAAGATCTCGCCCTATTTATCTAGTGATCAGAAATACTAATGCTTTACTAGTTGACATCAATATTCAGCTCATACCGGGACTAGACATAGGAGTTAATGTTGGTTGTGGTGATAGTATTGTGGATGTGAACCTCAACTCCTTGCGCCTGCCCTTCATTACTTGTGCCAACACCCAAAAATCAATTTCAACAACGGGTGTGAAGTTGCCATTGATGGGCAGAAATATGAATAGCAAACCCGTGGACTTGCCAACTTTGCCAAATCCTACTGGGCGTGTAAAGGCCATAGATTCGTCCATCCGAAGTTTGCCCAGTACCTCAGTGTCAACATCAATTAGCAAGTCAAAGTTCATCGGTCCTATAGCAGCTATAGATTCTTTAATGTTTAAGTCTTCAAGCGTCAGCACATCTGCCTCTATCAATATCAACTCAAGACGGCTCCACACACATCATCGTACATTGGCAGCCAATCCCCCACCTACCATATTCATAAAACCTGTTCCTACCTCGACGAATCCACCCAAGATGAAACATACTCATCACCGGCCAAAGAAGACTTCCAAGGCCATACAGTATACATCTGTGCATCCTCATCCCTCACCAGCTCAGACCTTAATCAAGAGATTTGAAACAACAACGAACTCATTGACAATCGACTCTCACACAACTACCCAATATTCACCTGGATCTCACCTCCACAAACAAGACTTTCCATAATACCAATTGACTCTATATCTGGTGGAAAGATTACATTGGCAACAAAGGCCTCAGGATGCTCATCGATAAGGAGGGCCACTTGGCATCCGCCCGCGGAGACTTTATATCCTCCTGTGGTTGAGCGTGAAGCAGCAAACAATGGTTGGAAGAGAACAGTTAGGTGGCATCCATCGGCTGAGAGTTAGTATCCTCCTGTAGTCGATCGCGGACTTCCAAACAAGGACTGGTGAATTGACGAATAATCATTAGATAAGTTTTACGTCCTGGCGTTTTTGTCTAGCTTATGCCAAGTGTGTCATTTATATCGTGTATATTGTTTGTCGTGCCTGGTAGCTGCAGTCCCCAACTCTAGATAGTCGATTGTTATCATACAAAAGCTGTAGGTGACGGCCAGGAGCCGATGTGGTGTCAATAAATATAAACCATTTCTTCCTCGCAAGTTTGCATCACAAATGTTTGTCGAAACAACTTTTTATCATCAAAGGGATCTTTTCTATTCAACACTTTTTGGTGATTTCAAACCTTGAAAGAACCTCTGTATGTAGTCCATCATACACGAAAACTCCAATGCTACATGTGTGGCAATATTTCTTGCAATCGTTCATTAAACATTACTCCCCCCCCCTGACCCCTCTCATCCCATGCATGACTTAGTATCCATACTCGATCGATATAGCAAGCCCAATTTTATACAGGATGCCAACTTTGAAAAGGCCCAAGTTCCGCTTGCGGCAACAATTCGATCCCAGCCTAACCCATCACAACCATCCATACATCATCTCATCATCATTATCATCAGGTCGATTCATTTCCTCATTATCTGCCACCGGCCAGTCCTGGAAATCCTCTTTTAGGCCTTGATCTTGGTTATCGCACATCGTCAACCCCACGAAAATCTCTTCCATCACTTCTCGTCCATTCTGGTTCCCCTCCTCAATGATCTCTTCCAGTTGGCGGCCTATCATAGAAACGAGTTCGTCGTCGTAATAATCTCCCCCATGACCATTGATAAAGTAGAATAGATTGATGAATCCTTGTTCCATACACCACCGGTCAATTTCCCGATTGTTTCTAATAGCATCTGCGATGTTTGATACTGAAGGGCTCGCTGTGGCTGCTTCATCAGACTCCGCCATGTTGGTATTCCGTGGAAATTCCGCCTCATCCCCAAGTCCTTCACTAATGAGTGATTCTCGTGTGGCTCTTTGCTCGTTTTCGTATTCTGCATCATTTTCCGCAGCTACCTCTTCAATATCTCCCCCAGCTTCAGCACGATTTTGTTCCGCTTCAAGCCTAATTGACTTTTTGATGATATCCCCAACCTTTTCCACATGGTCGTCGTTCCCGAAATCCAAAGTATGATAGTCCATATATTCTTCAAGGCAGGACCATCCGCGCTTCATGAGCCACTTATGTATTCCTTCGTCTTCATTCCGAATTCTGTAAATATTTTCGAGTTTTTTTTGCTCACAAACTTCGATATAGAGTTTTAGATTGCTGTCCCTCGATCCATCCGGGTCTTCGTCTTCATCGTAGTCCTCCCAATCGCTGTCGTCGGTCATTAGATCGAGAATTTCGTCTCTCTCTTGATTATCACCCCGGTCATTCTCTTCGACACCGTCTCCATCACAATTTTCCTCTTTCACAACCTCACCCATTTCCTCTTCATCCATATACTCCTCACTTGCTAATGCATCGCAAAGAAGCTTCTCGAATTCCGCGTCCAGTTTCTGATCCATGTCAACATAGTCCAATTCCTCCAACTCATCCTCATCCTCCTCGGCTCCCCAGTCTTGCAGCTCCTTATTTGCGAACGGGTCGCTGCTTCTGTAATTGCACAAGACTTCTTCGGCTTTCATATAATCTGCCGCACTTGTTGGATCATATTTATGTGTAACCATGAAGTCTTTGAAAGTTGGCCAGCCTCTTGTGTTGAGCCATTCGAGCCGAGAGAGCCTGCAGGTAAAGCTTGGTCTGCTCATTGTTGCTAGAGAATTTAGAAGGGAGTTTAATGTCTTAAGTTGTGCTGAGATGTTGTTGTGTTTGAATTGAGTTTTAGAGAGTAGCAAAGACTTTTAAAATTAATAGACTGTACATTTACTCCGGATAATCAGAACATGAATCCAGAAGCTCTAGCAACATGGAAGAGAGATAGCTATCTAACTTGAAGAACTTTTCAAGGTTATATTCGGAGCATCGGCTTAAGGTAGTGCCGTCAAACACTGGCCACAAATGGACTGATAGTAAAATTACAAGAACTTTAAGCTCTCAAGGTAAACTATAGCTATCCTAATGACTAGTTACCACCTGGATCTTGTAGCATATTAATTTGGATCGCTAAGATTCACTTTCTTCTTTTAATACATCGAGTGATTCCAATTTCAAGAATGCAAGAAATGAACGAGTATCTTGCGATAGTATTAGACAATGTGTTCCCGCATGTATTGTTAGTCGCTTAGAGCTTCTCTAAGCTATGGGGAATGGCATAATGTTGCTCAATCCTTTTTTATCTGGTGTGTATATTATAATCTATACTATAGAACATGATTCAGATAGTCTGACTCCATACCATGTCCAAAGACAAGGTATATTGAAGGAAAGTTATGGAGGTGAAACATGATAAAATGGGTCAGGGGAGTGGCCGCAGAAGTTATAGATATTTGAGCGTTGGAGAATTTTAGTACCTTTTCAGATGATTGATATGCAGTAGAATATAAAAATTCATAGAATAACAGATGACGAATATAAATATAAGTTGAACAAAGCAAGGCACAAACCCATTTCAATGAATCGCAATTTACGACTCTTATAAGGAATTGAATAGGTGTCGATTTCTTTAATTAGAACCTCACAATCAGCAAGTACATGGGCATTTATTTTGTCTATCTCCATGAAGACCTATCCCTCCAACATTCCTCCTACATCTCTGTTCTCTGTTTTACTTCGATACACTTGACAATATCATCCAATACTGCCGTTCTAGGAGTCTTTAACCATTAAGCCAACGAATGAATCCGCCGTATAACAGCCATAAGGTTCTGATTGAATAATGGCGTTCAAGTATGTCCGATCAGAACGCATTCATGTGTAATGAAACATTTCTCAGCATGATATAACATCATTAGGATCATTTCCTGCATCACTTAAAATAGCTTCACACTCTGCAACGTCGCCAAAATCCAGAAAATCAATCCTATCACACTCATATAGCCCGTCATTGTCAGTCTGAATCTCAGATCTCCCATTCCCACATGCCACATCCTCAACAAATTGCAAACCCATAGCAGATAAACTCTTCCCAGAAACAAAAACATTGTCGCTTTCAATCTTTCCCCGGAGATCGTCAAGTAGACGCAGGCCATTCGAACAAAAAGGCCTAATGTACATCCAAAAACATATACGAGTATATGCGCAAGAATTCTCTGTAGATGTGGTTCGGTTATCGTTAAGACTAGAGAGCGGGGAGTCCGGGTGAAATTTAAGCGGGGACTTTGATTTTCATGGATTTCACGACGATAGTTTCGGTTGCGACGCTCGAGTATGAGTTCTCGTGCGTAGCGAGTCATAGCTACGCCGAGATAGGTTCGCTGCATCGTGTGGAGCCAGTCTCGTTCCTCTCGGATTGCGTGAAGTCGAGCTCGTCTATTTCGAAGTTGATGTTGCAAGTTGGGCATTTTGGTAGTTGCGTCCCGCTGTTTTGGGAATTCTTTCTGTAAAGATGATTGATTGATGAGAGTCTTTGAAGTGTTGGAATAATTAGAGTATGCAGAATAGATAGAATAGATTTCTTTTCCTGTTCAGCTGGCTATGCATATTTATGTATGTTAATAGCTCTCAAGTAGGAATTAGTGTACTTGATCAGGTACGGCTGGCTGAATCATGCTATTGAGTGTACGTAGAGTTCATCTAGAAGCATAATTTGAGAAACGGTCTACGGTGCCAGTTCTCATCACCGTATTGTATATAGCACGCGAAACCATATCGATTGTGCTCTCAACTATGGATCTTATATCGCATAGCGGCGAGTTGTAATAGGCTTCTTATTTACAATCTTCAGTGGCCATATGTTGAAGAGGTTCGAAGACAAGAACATCAGCTAAGCCACTTATTGAAAGATTTCAACATTGCATGGCATTTCGAGATTGATACTTCCGATCGGATTCTCGAAAATAGTTTGTTTGTATAAATGAAGATTGATTTACTTAGTGCTATGTGGTCATCAGCAGGCATGATCTTCCAAAGAGAAGTCGTTTCCATCTTCATCTCCTCTTCATTCTACCTTGTCCACAACCCAATACCTTCACTTCTCAAACAACCCCTATCTCTTTCTTGATGATCATAATATTGGAGTATCAAGCTCTATTGCCACGTATCCGAAGCCCACACCCATAAAAATGGTTGTCAAAGCAAACTGCAACTTAGCCCTTCTACTAATTCTCTTCGACCAAACAACATCCGTACACCAATAGATACTCAAGTGAAGCCACATTCTACCCCAGCTTGACACAAAACTTTAACACAATCCTCCTCGGGAATGCCGCAGCTGCAAACAATGATTAAGGCTATGCGTGATAGTATGTAGATTGAGATGATGAATAAGATGAACTTGACTTTTCTCATGTTGAAATGGAATAACAAAGAAAATGTTCTACTAGTAGTAATCAATCTGAACTTGACTAGGCCGAGATTGATGATTATTTTTCGTGGTTCGTCGACGAGAATATTGAACCCTTCGAAAGAGTAAGCTCTCTGCCATTTACTGTAAATTCGACCGGGCGGCCGTTGATAGTATATCGCCGGGGTGGGAGGGGCAAATGCTCCTTAGGGACAGCCATCAGGATGCTATTTCGAATTGATATTGTTGTTTGAACATGCGTATCTTGGTGAAGTTTGATATTGCGTCGCTTCTTGGGTGAAGCCTTTCGTTTATTCGAATCGATCATGAGGAAACTTCATGATATCTTTGATACCTGTCGATTACGTTAGTATGTAAGTCAATCAAACTTAATTTTCGATACCTACTAACAGTATTGGTATGACTTCTTGCTCGATGCGCGAGGTTGGTTACGGAGACACGGTCAACTTTTCCTCCTGTGAATAGGTCTGTTTTTGGCACTCGAGTTTAAACAAAGCGTCGTACAAGTAATTCATTTTTGCACCACATAAAATTTCCTCGTACGGCTTCCATACATGACCGACCAAAACTCACTCGATGACCAAACTACTCGAATTTATGGCCTCCGAATTACAATTAACCAGTCCAACGTATCTGCAAACAACATGATACCACAGGAAGAAGGGTGAGTTCCTCCAGAAGACCCTATAAGCAAAACTATCAGCCAGATACGCGTATCTTTTATTCACCCAATAAGCTCACTCCATTCATCATCTCGATTCCCTTCATCCCATACACCCCGTTAACTATTTTCAGGCATTCTTCACGTCAAAGTTCCTAAGTGATAACACTAAGATAATTTGACCTCATTCATCAGTAACCCCTGCTCAATGCAATTGTTGGATTCAAATTCAAACGGTCTTCAGGACCGTTTGGCCGGATCTCATGAATGCTCCCTGGTCATGGATATCATCAAAAAGTTGGGTATGGAGGAGTCGGGCACAAGCCAATCTTCTGGGCTTCTAAGAATAGCATGGTATAGTAATTAGATCAAGGAGTTGTTTTCAATCAAACTTTTCCGACCACAGATGGCCTACCACAAAAAAGACTTGATAAATTAGATAAATTCTCTTAATTTGGTGATGATTAGAGTCTATAGATTGTGTCCCTCTGGTGTCAACACCAGTCTACCGGTTCACTTTGCACCAGTTAAACTACTAAATATGCCCTAAGCATAGCCTTCGCAATGAATATAACCACACAGCGTTCATATGTCAAAAATTGTGTCTCCTTCAATCTTTTGCAGATCCTCCACTACCGTAAGATGGGTATGACTACATCGCTAGTTAGTTATTATAACTATTCTTCGATTACTGTCGGTGAAACATACCCTCAAAGTGCCCATAAATTTAACTGGTTTCTTGTCATCGAGGATGACCTCACTTGGACTAGTGCTACCACTTGCAGAAATTTGCCTTCCATCGTGATTACCGGGTGCATCCGAACGGTTTTTAGCATCATTATTTGCGGCACTATTGGTTTGCGTCTGCTTGGAAGTGCTAGGAACGCCAGTGGATCTTTCAGCGTCAGATACTGATTCCTCCTCCTCGCTGGCCTCTCTGATTGCGGCTAGGATAAGCTTGCCCTGTTCGTAATCGTCGTCATCTTCGATTTTTAATTGATAAGAAACCATGAAATGATGCATGGACTTCCAGCCGTGCTTCTTGAGCCAAGCTGAATCAGTCAGTCGAGGTGTGTTAGTTGAAGAACTCATGATTGTAGAACTGATAAGGTTCAGGAGATGTCTTGCGAGATCCTACAAGGAACTAATAAGGTTGATCTGTTTTTGAAGTTTTGGTTTCAAGTGGGATTGTGTTTTCAGGAAGAAACCGTTCCGACTAGCAGCCTTATGAATATCATGGCGAGAAATGGGGAAGATGGGGGTGCGGGGTAGCCACTTTCCTTATTCACACTTAACACCGACTGAATTGTTGCATTGTTCTCTATAGGAGTGAATGGATATTAGCACCGCCAATCTACGGTGAATTCTTAGACTGCCGAGCATATTTTCGATGACTTACTGACTAACAATTCATGATTACTCTAATTGATAGGATTAATCGTCTCTTTCACTTTCTCTCATTCTAATACTAAAGTAGTTTCGAAAGATGTAACTTGCAAAGTCCCTGTAATATTACTTGCGAATTTCAGCCCAAATACATCTCAGAGAGTTTTCAGATGTGTTCTTTCCCTATAGGAGAATTGGGAGATGATAAGTGTTGGTTTTTAAGTATACTATCAGCAATTTCTTCACGGCACTGGCAGAAAAAGACTAGTTATATAGAAGTTCACGGTCCCAACTTGAAAATGAATGCACGAAATTTCAGAAAAGGCATTCAACGCGGGATAAGAGCTGACCTAGATTTGTGAATGCTTTCCTAATTGAAGAACTGTTGAGATTCATCGTCTTGTTGGTAGGTTTTTTTATACCTATATTTAGCAATCATGGAAAGTCAATTAAAGGACCTATTACGCCCCTCGAGAATGCATAGCCTTCGGCACCTAGATAGTCATCATGATCACCATCAAGATCATACTCTGCACTGCTATATGCACATCAAGTGTTCTCGCTCAAAAATCTGCCAGCCCTAATAGAACTCTATGGTCTATTGAATTGGCAAGCCCTGTTCACTTCCAGAATCTCATGACCACTAAAGGTGTCATTAGTCTTGCTCCACATGAAGCCACCCGATTGTGGTATGTAGTCTGCTCAGCCGCTGTCTAATAATGAGGTCACCGTGCTGTCTACTTGATATCTTTTGCGTGAGGTCTTTATAGTCTCCGCTCGGTGTAAACTGATGACCGTAGAAAATTTTATGTGATGCTGTTGGATGAAAATTTCCATGATTGCTGGATGAAGGCACTAACATATGGGGTAGTGGAATGAAAGGGGAAGGCATGATTTAGGCGAAGGAAGGTATCGTTGTGCGGAGTTCTTTCAGGGGACTCTTTCTGGAAATCCAAGCAATAGAATTCTCTCTTAGAAAATCTAATTCATTTCTAGCATAATTTGGAGAGCCAGATCTGGACAAGGGGGGTTATTTCAGATCCTCATGTCCCATTTCCCAAGCCCTCGCGTTGCGTAAGAAATACTTCGTGCATGTCCTCAGAGATTCGGTATGGAGAGCTGAGCTATTGTGCAGCTTTCATTTCATTGTTATCCATCAAATGGATGATAGTACGTGTCGAAGCTAGAGTGAAATGACATGCTATTAATATTGCCGGTTGCCGAACTGATCTCCTATCAACCTTCCCAAGGTACTCATCCGACATCGAAGATGGTGGAAAACTTTCATTTCATGTGTTGAATGTCGCCATCCAAAACCAGGGAAAAAGAAACAAACTCAATTGGGTGTTGAAATAGTTGGGGGCGGGAAAGTATAAAAAAATGCACCAAAAAGGATATACTTTGATCGATACCATGGCCGATGTTTCACAACATTGACAAACAGTGATAAAGATGCAGGAGAGTGAAGGAAGCAATAAGGTTAAGGTTCAAGAAAAGTGAAATTATTCCCATTTGTGGATTGCTCTTACCACAACCTTAATTTGAACTTTATTTAATCTCGTTACTAATTGATGAGATCATTATTTTGCTTGACGTTTACCTATTTACATTAACTCAAATCTATACAGTGCCATTTTGAGTAAAAGAAGTGTTCATAAAAGATTGTAACTAAATGTCAAAGAATTGTGGAAAAAGCTATTGTACTCGCACATACTTTGATTCATTCCTTGAGGTACTTTTGTTTCTGGTGTGAGCGGAAATGGCTCCAATGAAGAAATACAGCACGGGATAGAAACTGTAAAAAGGGAGGAGAAACTCTAAGTAGGAGGAGATATCGAGAAAAAGAGGGCTGACAAGGACAATCGAACATCTGCAGTGTATTGTGGAAATAGAGATGGCTATGGAATGCCCTCAGCGTCTGTCGCTTATTTGTTACTCGGATTACATACGATCTGTTCTTTGGTCGCTTTGATCGCATTCATGCGGCAACGAGTTCTCATCACACGACTTTACATACGTACATCAATGATGTCGCCGTATGGAACTTTATCTTCTTTATATATATCTCTTTCTACGAGCTTGCCCCTTTTTTTTCTACACACAACTTTCTATACACATGAGTATCAACACAAGCTACTCAAATATCTGCATTCATCTATACTAGAGATTAAATCTTAAAATTACCACACTATCAAGCGACAAACCTTTCATGAAACCATCAGGACCCGATACTATCTCATAAACTCTGAAGTTTATCAGCAAACTCAACTTAGATCGAGTTTCCTCATAAAGCCTCAACCGCAACAGAGTACTTGAATACTTCATTCAATAATGTGTATCAGCTTCTCCTCTCCTTCCCCAGCCCACTCTCCTCTCGAATCTCTCCGCCCCGCCAATCCTACTCCTTACCATCCCGAAAACCTTCCATCAATCTTATCCCCTTTCTTTCGTCCCTCCAACCCAACTCCCTACCATCCACAAAACCTTCCCCAGGATCTCGAAGAGACACGATCAATTTGCCGCGTCCTCAAAGAAGCTGGATTTATCAATATAGTGCAATTCTTGGATTCGCATGATTTAAGAGAGGATGAGAAGAATCGCATTCTGAGGGCATGGGAGTTCAATGAGGGAATGAGAGAGGACTGCTTGGTCCAGAATGCAAAGGAGGAGATCTTGATGCAGAGAGAAAATGGGGTTGATGCTGGGAGAGAGAAGGAGAATGAGGTCTTTGCCTTGTTTGTTTGCATTAAGAAACAGGCCAACACTGTGAAAGCAAAAGTGTTGGGCGAGAAGAAGAATTTCATCACTCATCAGGCACCCATACCCCAAAAAACAAGTGAAGAGATGAATTATAGCTCCGATGAATCTTATTTCTCCAGTTTCTAACGGGGAGGAGTATTCACTGGAACAACTATCAATAATGGAGCGGCACAGAAGACAGGCTAAGAGATTCTATTTTCGCCGGACGGAATGATATCTTGTCAAATGAAGTTGACGAAAACATAACATAAAGCCTGATGTTGAAGGGTTCAAAGCATGTCACAACGATGCTAGGCAGATACGATACCCCGTGTCTGCAATGAAGACACAAAAAGTTTTAATGAGTGTACTTACACTTTCGAATGGTTCCGTTGCAAGGAAAAATGGTAATGGCGACGAGTTAATGAGATCGTTGTCTCACCTCACAGCAATCGATTCATGGGATCACTGATTACTCAGAAGTGGGGGCACTAACTGAGTGCATGGCATGCACGTGGTATGATTTTAGTTGGTTTATGCATGGCTAGCGTTGGAGAATTGACCGTCAAGCGAATGCCATACGCTGAATTGAAATGTCGATCTACCAAACTTTATTGCCCTCGAACTGTGATGTGACTTGTGAGTAAATGCACATTGGTACTTCGACCTCACTAGCCCCCTTGAGGTTTTCCGGAGGCCTTTACACTATTAGGTTAGTGTACTTCTCCAGGTTCCGATGTTCAATATCTAATCTATCAAAGCATAAAAGATTTCATGTAACATCAAGGGATTCCGAATGAACACGAGAACTGTGGCCGGAATAGTTATCAAGCAGATGGAGTCTTAATTTCTCTACTAGTAACCCGCCAAAAGAAGCTCTTGGTATCATCTCAACAAGCAAAGCAAAATCGAAACGTCCATTCAGTATCCCTCGCCATCCTGACTGCGAAACTAAATATTGTAGGAAGGATCATCATCATAGTCATCCACGAAATCATTCTGATCATCGTAGAAATACCCATAATCATCGTTACCTCCACCATCAAAATCTTCATAACCAAAAGCCTCGCTGACACTATCATCGTCTACCATTTCTCCATGAACATCAACATCAACATCGACATTCTCATCCGATGCTTTTTCCCTGGATGAAATCCTATCCAGTTCCTCCACGGTCTCAATCCCAGACACCTGAGACCCATCGTCCACTTCGTCATCACTAACTACCTCCGCAAATCCGATTGATTCCACTGCACCATCATCCACTTCCTCATCACTAACCACATCTAAAACCCCGGCTGACTCTTCTACATCATCTTCATCTTCCCTTTTCATGTCACTGACCACGTCCAAATACCCGATTGATTCCACGAAACCATCATCCTCTTCCTCATCACTAACCACATCCAAAACCCCGACTAATTCAACCACGCCATTTTCTTCTTCCGAGCTCTCTACACCTCGCCTATCCTCCACATCCTCTTCATCGTTAGCCGCCCTGAACTCCAATCTTCTTAGATCCTCCCCCATCGAATCCTCCTCCTTCATTCTCTCAATCATTTCTTTTGCCATTTCTAGATCTTCATCATTGTGTAATTTCAATCCATGTGAGAACATGAAATCGTTCATGCTACGGAATCCAGCATCTCTGAGGATTCTATAGGTTGATTTACGGGGCTCGGGGCTTGCTGAATAGCTTGGTTGATCGGCATCTTTGATAGATTGAGGGGAGGAAGAGAGTTGGGTTTCGGAAGAGCCGCTCATTTTGGCGCAGGCTTTTGGTTCAGAGTATGTTAGTTGTTTTAATGTATCGAATTCATTTGCGTTGCAGGACTTTAAATTGGGCGTGTGTTGAGGTTGATAGGAATTGGAGTTGTATTGTGGAAATTCGGTCACTGATAGAAGATCTACTGAAAACTATCTAGGAAGGAGTGTTGATACCGAGGCCGATAACGCGTATTTGGATAATATACTAAAAATAGATTTTTGCTTAGTCAAAATGTAAATTTAGTATTTGATGATGTATTAATAAGTATAAAATATTCAATTCAATATACAATCTAAAGAGAATAAGCAAAATAAATAGAAAAAAATAAAATTGTTAATTAAAATTTAAGGAATCGTGTTACAACGGGTTAATAACAGCCTGTGGAATCACCAGCGTATAGGCTATAGTGGTACTATAAGCCTCGGTGATTCAGCTGTAGTATACCGGGGGACGCTAGGCACTTAGGAAAGCCTCAGGCATGTATATATTATTAATCATAGGATACTCTAGAAATATAGGACATAGTTCCTAGGATAATAGGTCCAAGGAAAGACAGAATATAGTAAGTAAGAAGGCTTCACTAGGATTAGTAATGTCCTAGGGGATTAGCCCTAGGATAAAAGAATAAGCTAGGATACTAAGAGTCACGGGATTAGTGTCCTGTGATGGACAGCTCAGGAACGACAGTGCTCTAGGAGCGCCTAGCTGTTCTAACTATTTAAGAAGGACGAAGATCTATATAAGGAAATGGGTTTCATTACAATATAGAGCTTCGTGCTCAAGAACAATCATTAGTTTCATTACTATAATTACGAGAATTGCAACCAGTTACAACCTTATTGAATTCCTACTTGAAGTCTAATTTAAACCACCTCGAGAGAACTCTAGACACTTCCACATGACCCTAGAGGCAGCTCCCGTAACAAATCGATTGATATAATTTCTTTTGAATTATTTCAAAAATTGAAGTTTATATTCAATTTAATGAAATGATTTAAAAAAAAAAGTAATATCTATTAATTCTTTAAGTTTTAATTAATAGTTCAATATTTTTCTATTTTATTTTATTTGTTTTTCAAAGTTTATATATTTAATTAAAATATTCTTTTATTATTATAGTAAATGCTTAAGGTTAGATTAATTATATTATAAGGAATTCTTATTAAGTTTATTTTACTTTTTTTTTTTATATACAAAAGAGATTTTTATTAAGCTTATCTTGTTTGTTTTAAAATAGTTTGTATATTATAAAAAAAACAATTTGAAAAAAGTTATATATTAGAATTAAATATTAATATATTTTCTATAAAAAATTCTGAAATATATTTTAAAATAATAGAAATAAGATTAATAATAAGAGCTATTTAGTAATCTAATTTTCCTTTGTTACGGAGGTACCCGCACCGCAACATGGATTATAAGATAAACCTAAGGCCTTGGTGTTGGAACCTACGAAAACAGCACTGTAGGGATAGTTGAATTGAAGGGTAACGAAAGATAGCGGTAACCAGATAAGTAATCAGTGATTAAAAGATAGGTACCTATCTTTTGTTGTTACCTACCCTACAGTGGGCACAGGGTAAGCAGCAGTCACAGGTCGGCTAGAGAGCACAGGTTAGATAAGCGGTGGCATCATTACCAGTCACGGGATGGACATCACGTGATCAGGAAACCGACTTGTCGAAATCGGCTTTACGGTAATCGACTTGTCGATTCATAAGGTACGAAGATCTATATAAGGGAATGGGTTTCATTATAATGTAGAGCTTCGTGCTCAAGAACAATCATTAGTTTCATTACTATAGTTACGAGAATTGCAACCAGTTACCAACCTTATTGAATTCCTACTTGAAGTCTAGTCTAAACCACCTCGAGAGAACTCTAGACACTTCCACGTGACCCTAGAGGCAGCTCCCGTAACATCCTTATAGGTTATTATTTCCTCAATAAGATTGTACTAATATAATACAAAACTTTTTTCTGAAATCTTTATGAATATATTACATAAATCATAGAAATTCTTTTTGTAATAGGTAAAAATCTATTTTTGGTATATAGATCAAATGCACGTTATTGGCCTCGATAGTTGATAAAGTCTTAAAAGAAAGGAACAAAGGTGGGGTAGAAGATTCCATATCGTTAAATGAATTGAAATGCGTGAGTAAGAAAAATAAATTGGATTGAATGAATGACTGTTTAAATAGAATGTGACAGTCAACAACTTACGCGAGCTGGTTCTTAAGTTTCTTTAACGCTTGTATTATTGTCAGAGACAGTTCTTTGTAGTATGCAAAAGAAAATATTAGTTGATGATTATATTCAAATATATGTGAGCTTTGTATGGTTGATACAAGATTATCGCCATTCACCATCTCAAGAGTCGCCTTCGTTTTATGATCTGAGAAACCAACGTTGCAATATCCCTCGTATAACCCATTCAGTGTCCAGAATTTCGCCTTTCATGGGCTCCCAAAACAATGAATTCCATCCGTCAACAGTACCGCAATAATCTACGTAAGCTCCTGTCCATCCGCACTCCGATCCTCTGGAAGCCTCTGTAGCATATTATTCGTAAAGGTCTCATGTCCCGCCAACAACAACCTTAGAACAGCCACAATAGCACCATCTAATCCTTGCTCCTTGAACAATTGCTTTTTTTCCCTTCAGGGTATTTACGGCAATAGGATTATCGACTGCAAGAGTGACATTCACGACTTCAATGATTAATTACGCGTCTAATTCTGATATTGAAGGAGGTAGGAGAGCGGAGTCTGTAACATCTTGTAGAAGAGAAAGGTAGAAGGCTGCGAGGGAGCCGAGGAGGGGAGCATCGGGGAGGAGACCACCGTTCTAAAGAGTGGTTTGAGAAGAGAGCTTGGACACTGTTGTCAAGGGTTGTGGTATCGTTTATGAGGACTAACACGGTCGAGGGTCATAAGAGGGCTTTGATAGATACCATTTTGAGTTACGAGGAGTAATATATGAGTGATTGTAAAAGTATATCAAGTTTTTGACATGGGTAACTCAAAAATTAAGTTAAAAAGTGGCAAGAAGTAAAAAGTCTAGGTGAGTAAAGAAGGCACGGCGAAGATAAATTTGTAGAGAAAGTAGTGATTGAGAGATTTATAGATCGTGGAGGGATCCTCATCAATCGTCAATTATTCCCAACCTAGGGTTAACATCTTTCTAGATATATCCACCTACAACTAGGCCTTGGTGCTCGTTAATGGTCGATCGAATTATCAGATTGATTCGATTCAATTATAGACCGAAAAAGATTGAATGTTACAACACAACAGCATATGAGAGGATGGCTTGAATGAACTTATAGAATTACCAACGACTTGAATAAAGCTATACGCATTGTCGAGCTCTAAACGACTGCTTCATCAATGTCATAAATATAACCACACAGGCTATAGATAGAGCGAATGACAGCCTTTCGAAATAGTTGACAAGAAGGTACCAAACGATCTACCGTGGACTTAGCATTGAATAGCGTTGTGATGTGCAGCGCTATTTGATAGACACCAAAACTATTCACAGTCCATTACAATGGGGTTAACCGAACCGCCTAGGCCAGTCGGCACAAGTGGCTGGCACGTGAGGCACGTGTCAAAGATGTGATAGCGATCGATCGTTCTGCAAAGGGGTTCGAGCAACATTTGAGGAACAAGGATCCTCACTCCATATGATTTGTACAGTGTAGAGGAGATAGAAAGGCCAGAATCCTGTTGATCGCGCAATCACCTGTTTGCTGTCTCTGCACGGTACCTGATCGAGGCACACGGGTACCTTACCGCGAAGTATATCTGATTCCCAAAACTTAGAATGCCGGGCTTATCCTCTAGCTCCCGAGCTCCCCCATATGCTTTAACGCGTCGGCTGGGAACTCATGTGAACGATTAAATGCAGGCACTATTTCTGAGTTTGTACCTATGGTGCGCTTGAGGTTGAGTGTCCTATCCCGCTGTGTGAGTTCTTAGGAGGAGATACAGTATCCGTGTCATGAAGAGCCTAGACTCCATCGTATAGCACAATGAATCATGTCAATTATCGAGCTCAATCAGATATAAATGGAAAAGACAATGTTTATGCCAGAAAGTAAGTGTGCACGCAGCAAGAGACACACGCACGCACACATACATGAGAGAGAACTCATTGCCGTTCTGCCGCTTTCAGCTTCCGGGCGGTGAGTCCAGACTTTTTGGACTTAACACGGCTCCGGAAATAATTTTCAAGACGGTTCTTATTCCCAGTCGATGAATATTTTCTTAATTTCTTGTCTAAATCTGACGGTGAAGGTGGAGGAGGGAGGTAGGTGGTTGAAGAAAACTCGTCTTTTTTTTCTTCAGATATGCAACAAAAACGAATTGTCGGTCGCATTCACGTGATAGATCTGGGCAGAATAAAGCGGTAACTTGCTGGATTATGTAAACTAATTGAATAAAAACATGATTGTGACTTATGTAATATCTCTTCTCTATCTCTTCTCTATCTCTTCCTTCTATCCCTCATCACTACACAGTAATTCCGATCTATTGCATTAATTAATGATTCATCTTCATCTCAGACTTTGTACAATGAAGGAAAGACATATCATACATATTATCAGGACTCGACTGGTAGTGCCTGGAGTACCCTTGGATATCCTTCGAAGATCAATCAGTTGGGACCCGCTCCTTCATGATAACGCTCAATAGCAGAGACGGTCTGGATGGTGCAATCTGGTAGTATTCTTATTACCCTTTGCATGTTCATATTACAGAGGTTGGGGAGGTAGGTGAATCTGTTGACTGTACTCCGTATGTGGATTCTATCGTATCAACATCCACGAGGAGATGGAACTACTTTAAGGATATCTTTCAAGTTTCTACCTCGATAGGGGCATCAAGTGGGTCATTGTTATCACATCTTATAACGACTTGAAACCACCAAGGATTCGTTCGACGAACAACTGAATGATACGAATGGCATGCCCATATTGGAAATGTTC